GATTACACACCACTTCAGATATACAGCTTTCATCTGGAAAGTAGGGCACATAATCCTACCTTTTGATCCTCGCCACTGGGAAATACCACATATGAATTTCAGGTTGCCGTTTATCTGCACATTTTGCTAAAAAGAGCACACAGCTTGTTTTGCACAGTGCTGCCTTTTTAAAACTACCTCATCCCCATTCCATGTATATAAATGAAGTGAAATGGGAGTTGAATTTTATTTCTCGAGTGGTGTCCGGATAACACTCTCCACTTCAGTTAAAGGCAGCAGGTTAGCTTAAAAAGTGTGGGGCAGGTTGTAATGTAAACCCAAGTTTATCCTCCAAGAGAGGAGGATAACTGTGTGGCTTTGCATAAATGCCGAGGATGAAGTGTGATAGTGCTGCCCTCCCACAGTACATACTGACTGAGGTAGCTGCCTCACTCTGCCTAATGGTAGCGTTGATCCTGGGTCTATGATAGTTTTATTTATCTGTTTGTAATCTTTAGATGCCACCTTTCTCCCCATAATGGCTTCCTATGCTAACCAAATCCCCATTGATTTGATAGGCATACTCTAGTTCAATTTATGATGCTAAGAAACAGGATTTGGGCCAATTTCGTACAAAGTCCATCTACTGTAGTGTCAGACTAGAACATGGACCTCTGAATTCTAGCCTCCAAGCAGAGAAGAGACTTCAGGCCAATCATTTATCTTTTGCCATAATTTACTTCTCGTAGTTGTTATGAGGACTGAAAAGGTAGTCAGTGGAAATCTATATTTGCAGCATAGAGCTCCTTAAATAAAAAGTGGCATAAAAATAACAATAAAACCCTAGTCCTTTAGCATCATTACTTTAAAGTGTTGAAAGGTTGAAAGGAAACATTTAACAGTTTGATAACAACTTACTCCAGGCAGGGGGGAAACCAAAATATAACCCAATGCATGGGGTTATTTATTGAAAACTAATTGAATATTTTCTGCCTTACACTGATTCAATGATGTATTTCATTCTTTATTAAATACATTTTATTTTATCGCCTTTTCTTTTGTCACTACTCACATATTCTACTTTGGTTAAGAATAAATGAGGTGTGTTATAATGAAACCAGTCTTCAGAAACCCAGACAGAAAAGCAGGTAAGGTCTTATTCACTCCAGGCTTGCATTAAATAATCTATTAATGCCATGTTCTTATGGAAAAATATATTGTTTTATAATGCCCATAAAAATAAAATACAACAGTTTATTGCTGTAATAAAAGCTAGACCTGTCGAGAACATTGGTATATATTGTCAATCATGAAATGTAAGCAGTTATGCTATGAAAATCACATTATGATTATAGCTTTGTTGGTTTTTCCACCTCTCTAAAATTGCTGGTTTTATGTACACATTTTCCATCCTAAATGTAATAAACCAAAACCCAACGGATGGTTTCCCAGTAGTTCTGGAGGTTTCTGGTTGCTACTTTTCAGGGATCTGGGTTCCGAAACAGGGGCATATAGAAAAGATTTTAATACTCCTTGGTTATATTTTATTTCTGTCACTGTTTAATACACTTGGTTTTATGTCTGTCAGTGGTTCTTAATTGATGAACATCAGCAAATTCCAAAATGCCCCACCTCTTACGGAAGTTTGGTTGATTAGAGCCAACAACCCTTTATGAAAGGGGTTCAAAACTCTGCTCCAACTCACTGGTAGGTAGATGCCTTCCGTTTCTCTTTTTCTAGCCTTAGGACACTTTGGAAAGGAGCATCTTCAGCAAAATACACCCATTCACTGCCAGACAAAATCTAAACTGCTATCTCTTTACTTCCCTTTTAACTAAATACATGCCTGGATTGTGGGATTCTTGGAGAAGTGAGCAGAGCTTTGATAAGTTAGTGTTTTGGACTGCATCACCAACCCCCAGTATTGAGGTAGCCAGACCAGTCGGCCCTCCACTCTACGCCTGGTGTTGAATGCCAGGTCTGTATCCAATAAGGCCCAGGTAATTCACAACCTGGCATGCATAACCGAAACATGGATTGGCAGAGAGGGGGGTCCCCCCTAGCACTCATCTGTCCGCCCGGTTATGCTGTCCAACTCCAGGGTAGACTGGAGGGCCAGGGAGGGGGAGTAGCCATTGTCTACAAATCCATCTTGGAGGTTACTAGGCGCTCCTCAGTGGTAAAGCCGGGTCTTGAGGCCCTCCACATGTCGGTTGGGACCAGGAATGGTATTGGGATCTTGCTGGGTTACTGTGCTCTCCGCGACCCAGCCATTTCCCTACCAGAGTTGGTGGACTTTGTCTCCACGGCACTGTTGGGATCCCTGAAGCTATTGGTCTTGGGGGACTTCAACGTGCGTGCTGGGGCAGAGTCTTCCAGGCCAGCTCTTGAGTTCTTGGAGACCATGGCCTTCTTGAACATGTCCCAACATGTCAATGGCCCCACCCACGTGGGTGGCCACACACTTGATCTGTTTTTTTCCACCAATGGGAGCGAGAGTGGTCTGATGGTGACTGACCTCAAGTTGGTACCCTTGTCATGGTCGGATCACCACCTAATAAAATGTACCCTCAAAATTGCTCTCCCCCCTCGCAGGGAGCAGGGACCTATTGTCATGGTCCGCCCTCGAAGGCTACTGGATCCAGTTGGATTCCAGGACGCCATGAGAGGTGTTACGGCTGACCTGGCTGGCGCTCCTGTCGAG